CCACGTAAATCAAGGTCTGGTATATGATTAACTATAACCTCCTCTTCTAGCTTGGTAAGCTTCCTTGAGTTGGGCTGGCAATCGCGTCGGGCAGGGCAACCAGCGCGTCGGTCACGTAGCGTTGAACGAAGGACACCAAACGTCTGAGCAGCTGCTCTTACAGTCTTGATTTGATCTCTATTAAGAGATGAGATAGAAAGCTGTATATTAGCTTCATTTGAGTGCGATAAGGCTTGGTAGTGTTGAGGCATTGCTAATTCAAGGTGTAAAGGTGATCAAAGTTAGTGAGGTGGGCGCCTCGCTTGTATGGGCGACTCGCTTGTAAAGCACGTTAGAATAACTAAGTATCAATGTAAGCAGTTGTAGATGTAAGAAGTATTGTCCATTGTGTGTATCGTGATAGGAGCAAGTTTAAATACAGCGTTATTAGTCAGTGAGTAATCACGTGACTATACATGGTACTTCTGGGCTTACATATTATCATTGAGGTGATCATTATCGTTAAGGTGATACCTAGGCCCGTGCGGAGCACGAGCAATTTCATTGAAATTCTGCTACAGCAGCCGTTGGGCCCGAGTAAGTGGCAAGCAGAGGCGAAAGGTCGAGCAACATACAGACACACACCATAGCATACGAAGAAAGTACTTCAGATCCAGGAAGTCCTGACTAAAAGACAGAGGGCGCTGCTAGTGTAACTGCGTACAGAGAAGATAGGTCTGCGCGACTTCCTCTTCGCCTGAAGAGTGCCAGGGGTTACCAGCTCCCGCTGCCAGTGCGGGGAGCGACGACAGACTGTCGCCCACAAGGGAGTGACGTGGGGCGGCGCGGATCAACATCTGCGCGGCGTCGGCTATTGGCTACATCAGCCATGCCCGGCATGGCTGCGGAGAAAACGTGAGTGAAATCGTGTATGTATGATCAATCAATCAGTCAATCAAGTGCTCGCATTATGTACCTACTAATTAGATCGTAGTTAGTAGTGCTGCCGTTCGGTGATAAAATAAGTTTTCTAACAATGTTCAATCGGGCATTTACAGTTGCACGTTCCTATCAAACTTATCTCTAAAGCGGAAATTGTTATATACCATCAATTCGGATATTCGTGCCCTTAGGCTCAATAGGTTAGAACCACCTAGTGGCTGTTCTTAGTCACATGTATACATCATACATAATGCGGGTTCTAGATTCTTCTTATCAACTTCTTTCAATATAACTGTAAAGTAAGCCTCAGCTGAACTCAAGTAACGTTCTTCTTCTTCTCTATATACACTATGTATCCTTACGAAAAACTCTTCGAAAATGAGGAAGAAGCTCTACATATGTCAAAAACAAACACCCATACATTGAAAACACCCCAAGATTTGAGGTCGAAAGTACTTTTCTGGCTTAATATCTTCCACTATGCGTTGACATCATCTTTATTTGTTCTTGTGGCTACATTAGGAATACGAAAAGAGCATGGCACCTTCACCACTGGCTGGCCGACAGAAATTCGTAAGTATTGATCGTTAAGATCCGTGCCTACTTAGCCATGTATACTCAAGCTAAACTTCATGACTAGCTGCAGTATCTCCGTTTATTCGGTTAACTAAGGAAATAATCGAACCACAAGTCTATCTTCTTCCGAACGGAACTACGTTACCCTCAACCTCAGATTATACAGGTACACCATCGAAAGAAATTGACGATAGATGGCAAAGCTTAGAAGATCGTATGTTCAACTTCCGATCTGATGTATATACACTAAATATTGATCTTTTATAGTGCTTATCCTAGAGTTGGATACAACTGAGCTAGGTATTGACATTGCGGAACGTGCACTACGTTCAACAGCGAACAAGTACAAGCATCTAGTCTCGTATGTTGTAAAAAGATTAACTGCATCTCTTAATCAACTAAATGCTAACAAAGTCTAGGTTACAAGTATTCCATGAGCTACATTGCCTCAATTTTCTCCGAAAATTAATTTACCCTGATGTGTATGGCAAGATAGATTACAAAGGACAGATCCATGCTAGTAGGTTCTGATCATCTGAAAGTATCGATCTGTGATTTATGTCTAATCTTTACTCTCAGATCATTGTATTGACCACATACGAAGGATAGCGGAATGTGGTAGTAATGCTACACCGGTTGTGTATACAGGCTACAAGAATGGCAATCTTTATAGCGAGCCGGAAACCTACACTTGCCGTAATTTTACTCTTATCCGCCAGTGGGCGGAAATGAAGAAGATCCAGAATACTCAGTAGCACATACTGTTGCCAATTTCAACGTAGTAGAAGTTTTTTAACTTTTAGCAAGTCGAGTTTCATCTTTACCTCGATGATCTAACGTCTATCCCTCCGTGACGCAAATCCCTGTGTACCGCAACCAGCCAATGAGCTTGCTTAAATCGCTGACTTCTGCCTAGAACTTGCGGCCTGATTGGCCAGTTGCGGCACACAAGGATTTGCGTCACGGAGGGATAGACGTGAAACAGTTTAGAAGACATAGCTTAAGACGCTGCGCTGCATTCCTTCCAACTGTGCTACAGTCCTAAACTTGCGAGGACCCATACGTTAGTATGATTGACAGAACACCATCCATGGGCCCGAGTAGTACTATAGCATCTGGATCAGCCCTAAACCCTTCTAGTAGAGGGGTCTCTGCCTTTGCTGTTTATATACGTAAAACAGAACCCTTGATGGGCAACTGATTGGGCTGCTGAGCAGTCTGCTATTTAAATGGGTAATTCACAGCTCTTGAACTGCTATAATATTAACTTTAAGCTCAACCGATAACGTGCTCTATCACCGAGCGTGCCATATCACCGAGTGTGCCACTTTTTCTTGGCATCGCGAACTTCACGTACG